GTTTCATATTCATCGAAAATTTGGTATGTTCTCTATGGGTGGCAAAGATAATGCACTTTGTGTGTATGATGTTTCTGCACAAGAGGTTTCAGTCCCCGTGTTTAGGGCGAAGAATACGAGGGATCACGTGTTGGATGTTCCATATCCTGTATACGTGACCGGAACATGTATTATCAATCCCTTTGTATTCTGTACAACAACAGCTTATCATCAAGTTTGCTTCTACGATCGTAGAAGTAGTGAGAGACCGGTACAAGAATATGAGATTAACCGTGAAATTGACCGTAGACCGACGACGCTAATGCAGTGGAATTGCAATAAATTTCTCATAGGAGAGGCGAGTGGGGATATACATTTGTATGACACAAGACGTGGTTTTGCATCCAGAGCAAAGCTGCGAGGTGGTGTTGGAAGCGTGCGGAGCATGGCAAAGCATCCAGCCGGTCACCAGCTTCTTGGTGTTGCGGGGTTGGATCGCAAAGCGAGAATATATCATGTTCCCACTGGAAGGCTTTTGCTGACAATTTATGCCAAGCAAAAGGTGTCAAGTATACTTTTTGATAGCCAGTTGCCGCTTGCAGACAACACGGGAGCTTTCAGTGGTATTGCAAACACCAAGCAACCGAGTAAATCCGCTGCACTTGGTGATGAAATATGGGATAGTATGGATCCTGTAGTAGATGATATTACTGAAGTATTTCCTTTAGGGCAAAATGATAATGGAAATAATTAAGAATTGTAAAACCTTATCCAAATTTGATTATTTTTCTTTTATTCTACGTGTGTAATGGTTTATTACTTATACACAGACTCAAAAAAAAAAAAAAAAAAAAAAAAAAAAAAACGTCTGAAAAAACGTCTGAAAAAACGTACACTTGCCCTTTTATAAATATATTCTTTTTTTTTTTTTTTTTTTTCTTTCTTGTTTTTTTTTTTTTCGGGGGGGGGGGGAATTAATTTTTTGTCAAAAAAAATATTGACAGAATTGATAAGCTACAATGGCTTCTTGCAGAACAGGACGGCTTCCGATGCCGGACGATCCCCTTTTCAATCCCATCCATATGGGTGGACTTCGTTCAAGTGCGCGTATTGCAGGAGTTGGATTGCTCGCTGTTATTTGGATCATGTACCAAAAGCTTTATCATTCGCATCACTACATTACATACAAGGGCCCCGACAATCCGTTTGCTCGCATTCGTCATCGTCGTTACCCTGGTGGAGGCTTCCTTTTTGGATGGGGTAATAATGGGTTGAATCGCGATTGTGGTATTAAGGAATGGGAATGCTGGGCGGGTTACACCGGAAAAGAGTATACTTACTAGTTACTTTTTTTTTAGCATAGGAATTTTTATTTGGTCTGTTTTGTTGTTTTTCCTTTTATGAATAAGATAGCAGTGTTTGAGTACTGGGATTTGGGGAGATTCAGAAAAAAAAAAAAAAAAAAAAAATTTGCTTTGATTTGTTTCCATTTTATTTTGGTATTTGTTGGTACGTGTTTGATGTTGTTTTGGTAAAAATGCATCGCCTTTTTTATAGTGACATTTTTTTTTTTTTGATTTGTTATTTCCATTTGTATCATTACTGTTATTATTATTATTATTATAGCAAAGGGTTCATTTGATATTATTAGAGAAACAGGTTTATTTCTTCTTGTATCATTTTATGAACTATCAGCGACGTGGGAAAAACGAACATGTTGCGTCTCCAGTGATTCGTCCCGATACTGAATGCCGGCGAGTTATTCGGAATTATTCTCAACGCATCCAGTTAGAGGCTTGGGTATACGGTGGACCCGCAGCCTATTTTTCCTGCAACAAGAACCCATATCATGGCCTCTGAGAGAAGCTTGGTTTTTTTAGTTCTTATATGGATGCGTTTTGATTTCTATCTAAATTTGCATTTTGGGCCGTCTCATCACGGAGTTTTTGTTCTTGCTGTTATTATTATTGTTTTTGACTCTTGTTACTCACTTTTACCCACCAATTTTTGGATGTTTTTTGGAGGGGGGATTATTTTTTTTTTTTTTAACTACACGTTTAGCTATGGAGTTGTATAGCGATGATAACTGTCCTTTGTTTCTTAGTGAGTATATTCGATCAAATCCTTCTTCTGCAATAAGCGCACGTTGGGTATTTAAACTTACCGATGAAGAACAAGGGGATTGTATAGCGAAAATGGTTGAAAGTGCGGTTTATCAAGAAACCTGGCTTTCATATTTTGAATATGCAGAGAAAAAGGAAATTTCCGTGACGGATGAGATATCCTTAGAGGCTATTCGTGCAGTTGGCCTTGATCCGTACAGTGCCTCTTTATGGTTAAAAGTTATTGAGCTATGTTCAAATGAAGAAAAAAAGCGGGAATTATTTCAACTAGCGTTAAGGGTGCCCTTGTATCAGCAAGGTCTGGTCTATAAGGCTTACAAAAATTTTGAGTCAGAAGTGGCCAAGCAAAGTGGACACAGCATTTCGAGCTTTCCGTCACTTTCCGAAGTTATGCAATATTCCAAGATCTTGGAGACAGAACCTGTTTGGCCCGATAGGTTTGTTGACGTCCAGACGGCCAATCGTGCGCGTAAGGATGCAGTCATTGCTCAATGGAATAGCTTATTAAATTTTATGTTTGAAAAATATGAAGAATGCCTCATATCAAAAGATCTTTATTTGAGGCGGATTGAACTTGCATTCCGCCAGTTATGTAGTCAGTTTTCCCATGAGGATATCTGCTGGTATGCTTATGCATGTTTTGTGGCCGTAGACTTGAAGGATGAAATACAAGCTCGGGAAATTGTCGAAAAAGGCCGTTGTTTGATTGGTGATAACTCCATCGCCCTGCGATCCTTGGATGCGTTACTGTCCAATTCAGACCTTGAATCAGTGAATAGGTTTAATGATATTTTGAATAAAGGAATATTTTTACAAAGATTATATGCAAATGCGGCAAATGCATCCTTACAAAATAGAAAACGTTTTCGAGATGTTGGAAAAATTGCAGCTGCAAATTCTCTTAGTGATTGGAGGATTTATCATCAATGGGCTTTCGCAGAACAGTGTGTTTTGAGTGATATTCAGATGGCCGCGAGGGTTTATGAAAGAGGTATTTCTTGTGCCGCAAATTCTTTGAAAGATGCCGTATTGCTGTCAAATGAGGCGGTTAAGTATCATCTTTGGCAACAAAATGAGCGCGAAGTTCTTGGATATGCAGAGCGTCAAATTGAGTTGCTCTCATCTACGCAGCATGAGGGATTTATACGAGCTAGTTGGAACCAACTTGTTCATGCTGAGTCTATTTTGGGTTTGCCTTCGCTAACAAAAACACTAAGAAGACGTGCCGAACGATGCGTGGATTTTGCACGTAAATCAATTATTGAGCGCTATCGCGTGGGTAATTATATTCCGTGTTCCGATGAGGAACTTGATTGGCTTGAATACGTAGATGATCTCTTCAAAGCTCGTAAAGAGGAACAGGAACCTGTTTTTGAAGGGGTGACACCATTGAAGCACCTGACTCTTTCTACAGATTTGACTTCTTACCCCGATCCTGTTTTACCGGATGTATCTTTATGGAGTACATTTGAGATGTGCCCCAACCGTGAACATTCTTCCGGAGCAGAAGATTCCGACGAAGTTGTTGGGTCTCGAACGCTGCGTGGGCGACTTGTATACAAGTTAAAAATTGATGAAAAGACAGTGGCCCGATTGAAGCGCGAGGCGCAATTGCGCCAAGAGGAGAATAAAGGTGTCGATAGCAAGGCACTCAATGGTCCACATACCGCTCTCCAGGCGTTGGTTGAAAAACTGGAATCCAAAAGGTGGAATGCAAGCCAACTGAAAATGTGTAGGATTCTGAATGCCGAATGGCTTATGAACACACTCACCCACGGGGAATTAGATCTGCGTAAACGGCGCCAATAAGCTCAACTGAGAAAGTGTAGGATGAGGATCCTTTATTTCTAACGCACACAAACTTTTTCTCTCTCAGACCGTGAGCAATATATAACCTGCGTACGCGTATACATTTATTTGTTTACCGAGAAGTAAACCCTTATATTTTTTTTCTTGTATTTTTTCTTTTCTCTTGCAGTTGTTTATACTTTTTTTTTCCGCCATTGTTGCTGTATCCTTGCTATTTTCAACAAAATAGTTGAGGGGGGAAAAAGATGTCAAATAGCAAAATGCAAAATGATACCCTTCGTGTTTTGGGAAGCAATCCGTTTGAGAACATTACGGCCAAGACGCGTCTAAGGCAACTTTTGCAAACCCACCAGGGTAGAGACAAATTGTTTAAAGTGGTGCAATACTTTCTTAGGATAAAACTTTGGATGGACTCCGTCAGTTACAACCAAAATTATCTTCCGGGCGCAGAATTCACTGCTGTTGAAAGAAATTTGATGACCATTGTGAACACCCGAAGGCTGTTTCGAGTGGGACGTTTTGTTGGGGAATTTGTTAGAATGAGGTTGACGTTGATCAAGTGCTCAGAACTTGTTTACATTCCAGTTCATGGAGGACAGTGGATTGCGCTCTTCATTCAATGTCAGATGATTTGTGATATGTTTGCCCGAGCTCTCATGTGTGTAAAGTCCTTGTGCGAAGATGTAGCCTTCCTTACCCAAAAGGGCTTTTTTAATAGCCAGGTGGCAGACCAACTTATTAGTGTGTCTATTCGATGTGCACTTCCTGTCTTCTTGATTGATCTATTTCTAAACACACTCCGGTTGTTGCAGGGAATCCGCGACGCGTCACAGAAGCCGGCCAAAAAGGAACTGTTGCTTTCAATGGAAACCTTTTCGCTTTTGTCTAGGTACGATCATGTTGATAAGCTGCGGCGACGTATGAGCAAATCCAATCCCTTGGGCAAAGGGAAGGTGGATGATGATGATGATGATGAGGAGGAGGAGGAAGTACAAATGTTAGAAGTGGGGGAAGAAAATGAGATTATAGTGAACTCTTATCAAGAGCTTCTTTGGAAAGACTTTGAGTTGCACTGGATTTTTGTTACAGAGCTCAAGTTGCTTCTTGACCTTTTTGTAGCCTTGTCAAACCTGAACCAGTGGAAGGGTGTCGGGGGTCTAGTTAGTGTAGGAGGCCTATTCTCTGGTCTTTTATCCGTTTACAGGGTCTGGACCTATGGACGTTGACAAGGTGGACGAGGAAAAAGAAGAAGAATATAATGGCGCTATAAGATGATTGAATGAAAGGAAAAGCATATTTCTGGTTGATTTATTCCCTCGTGACGCTTTATGTTTTTGTTTTTTATTGTCGGCGTGGTTTTGGCTTCTCATCTTTTTATTTGTTGATTTTTGTGGTGCTCAGAGAAAATCTTTTGCTGGTTTTCCTTTGTTTTGCTTTTATCCATGCTATTCCAAACTGGAGATATTCCTGTAGATGGCAATGAGCGCTGGAAAGGCACAGAGGCTTCCAAAGGACGCCCCCCTATCATCAATGGCATACGGCAAGCGGAATGAGGGTGATTGGAAAAGCACGTCAAAATTGTTTGTGGAGGGAGTTTCTCGACTGAAAGAGGAAACGGATGCATTGAAATCTACCCGGAATGATATATAGGCCTCCTGGCAAAAAGCCGTGGAAAAGATGAACATTCTCACAGAAGAAAATTTTTTGTTGCAACATGCCCTGGAGTCCTTGTTGGATGAAGAACGAAAAAAGTCTCTTGTGGTGGTAAAAGAAAAGGAAGATTTGCTTGTGAAGGTGAAGTGTGCCGAAGAGAAGTGTGCCGCGAAAGAAAAAGAGGTCCGTCGACTTGCTGAAATGGTGGAGACAGAAAAGATAAGGCACAGCGTCTCTGTGGCGCTACATGAGAAGACAATGGAGGAGAAGGAGGCACAATACCGGGCGGAGCTCCATCTGCAAGAGAAGCGGTTAGAGGAGATGCAACATGAGTTGCAGCAGCAACTGAAACGGCAAGAAAGTGAGCTCCTTGCAAAAGACATATTATTAGAGAAGGAAAGAAAAAGATGGAGAAATTGGCACGAAGGATACGAGAACGAAAATTCCTCCGATATGGCCAAAATAAAAGGGGCGTCATGTGCATGTCGACTCTCTCCAGAAGCCACAATGAATTTTGCCGATATTTCTTCCAGTACAACTCTCATGGCGCATGTGCCGTTTTCCGTGCCTCCCGATGATGATGATGCCCGTAACGTCTCGAAGAAGAGTCGGCTAGAGGCAGCCCGGCAACAACTACGGCAAATAAATGGAAAAAGCAAGGAGGATGTCACATTGATCTCGCTTAGCAAGTTGAATGACCTTCAAGAAAACTTCCGTCATTAGAGTGACCCTCCATCGCTTTTATTTCCTTTATCCAGTTTTGTTTCCTCTCTTATTATTATTATTATTATTATTATTATTATTATTATTATTATTTTCTTTGGTTCGTTAGATGCTCCATGTGTGTTTGTTTGTTTATTTGAAATCCTCCCCATTGTAATGGTGCAGTTCCACATTGACGAAGTGATGAGAAGCAATAATCTAGCCACTGGGGGGTTGGAAAGATAATGGAGAGTTCTAGCGGTATAGGATCTTTTGTTCGTGGGACCTTTTTCTTTCTTTTTTTTTTTTTTTTTTGTTTGTTTGTTTGTTTGTTTGTTTGAGGAATCCCCAAAGTGGCGTTTTATGTCCGTTTTTTTCGTTGTGACTTTTCTTGCACTCATTCTTGCGGTTCTTCTGCAGTGGCAAAGAAGGTCAGCCGCTCTTCGGCCCCGTATACTTGGGGATGTCCTCCTCGTGTTTGCTCACCCAGATGATGAGGCAATGTTCTTTTCGCCAATGTTGGAGCATCTGAGGCGATACGACGTGAAGGTTCACTTTCTCTGTCTGTCGAATGGAAATTATGAGGGGCTTGGCGCGCTTCGCGAGAAGGAACTCGGCCTTAGTGCCCAGTTTATGGGCGTTCACCGAAACAATGTGAAGATAGTGAATCATCCCGCTTTGCAAGATGGCATGAACAAAATATGGGATGCGGGTTTGATTCGTCAAGAGGTGCTTTTGTACCTTCAAAAGGCGAGGAATGTTCGCACGGTCGTCACCTTTGACCAATGGGGCGTTTCCCATCACCCAAACCACATTGCAACCCACAATGGGGTCTCTCTTGTGAAGGAGAACATGCCACCAGGGATTGTGTTTTTGAGCTTGCGCACTAGAAGTCTACTGGGGAAGTACAGTGGAGTATTGGCGGCTGTTCAGTACATGACAAATTTTAGTTTATTGGGTCACAAGCATCGTTTTGTGTTTCTCGTGCCTCCAACCTCGTTTTTAACGAGTTTTCTTGCAATGAGGTTGCATAGGTCGCAACTTGTGTGGTTCCGCTACCTTTTTTTGGCTTTTTCATCCTACACGTACGTGAATGAGCTAGAGGTGCTGAAGGCACCCTAGAGAAATCTTTTTTTTTTTTTTTTGTGTGTGTGGGTGTGGGTGTGTGTTTGTTTGTTTGTTTTTTTGTTTTGGGTTTTTTTTACCCGGGCGAGCATTGAAGTTGAATGGATGTGGAATGTTGAAGGAAGAGAAACGTTGATGGTGTTTGTGTGTTTTGGTAGGCGGGAAATTTTCAACGATGAAATGATGGTGATTTTTTTTTTTTTAATTTATTGTTATTATATTTAATTTTATTTATTTAATTATTATTATTATTATTATTTCTTTATTTTCTACCTGCGGGGGAGAAATGAAGAAGCATGCGTTCAAGCCGCCGCCCAACTGGGAGAAGTTGTACGTCAGGGTGAAGGAACTCCGCGAGGGGCTGGAGGCTCCGGTAGACACACTGGGATGCTCGAAACTCTTTGATAAAGCAGCGTTGCACGAGACGAGACGATATCATATCCTATTGGCTCTGATGCTGAGTGCTCAGACAAAAGATCATGTGACGGCGGCGGCAATGCACGCTCTTATTCGAATCGGGTGTACCCCTGAAGTGATAGCGAAGATGCCGGAGAAGACACTTGATGAATTTATTTCCAAAGTAGGCTTTCATAACAAAAAGGCTAAACATATTAAAGAGGCGACAGATGCTATTTTGAAAAGGCATCAAGGGAGGGTGCCGCATTCCTACGAGGATCTCATTGCGCTTCCTGGCATTGGTCCCAAGATGGCCCATCTGTTTCTCCAGGAAGCAGACGGAGTGGTGTTGGGCATTGGTGTAGATACCCACGTCCACCGCATCAGTCAACGCTTTCTTTGGGTCCCATCGACGGTGAAAACGCCGGAAGACACACGAAAGGCACTCGAGTCCTGGCTCCCACGGAAGTACTGGGGTGAGATAAATGGACTGCTTGTGGGTTTAGGGCAAACCATATGTACCCCCCGCTTACCGCGTTGTTCCGAGTGCCCAGCTTCGGATCTATGCCCCAACGCTTTTAAGGAGGCGAAGAGGAGTGGAAAAAGAGGCAGGGTGCCTGATATCGAAGATGTCGATACCCGGTGAAAGACCGTAATTCTTGTGGACAGGATTGTTCCATCTTTATCTTTCTGCTTGTTGAATCAAACAAACATACGCATACACATACCTACCTACTTCCCCCCTTTCTTTCACCTTTTTTTTTTTTTGTTGTTTTTTTTTTTTTGTTTGTTTGTGTGTTTGTTTATGTTTTTCCCCGTTTTTGTTTTCCCCTTCCCCTTCCCCTTGGTTGATACTCTGGAATTGCATGTACCCTCTTTAGTTATCCATATTGTTGCTGTTCCTTTTGACTGATAAAATATAAAATAATAATGATAATAATAATAGCCCTGAAGGTGATCTCTGACAATTAATTACGATGTCTTTTGATTCCCCGTACAACCGTAATGTGTACATTGCCAGTCTCCCGGCAAATTACACAGATGAGGAGCTCCACGCTTTGTTTGCCCCTTTTGGAAGGATTGTTTCTACCGCTCTCGTTAAAGACAAAAACAAAGGGCGTTGCAAAGGTTACGGATTTGTACTGATGGAAAGGTACCAGGATGCATACAACGCGGTGATTGCCCTTCAGGGGCACACCATTGCCCATACACGTGTTCAAGTGCGCCTGGCCCGACCCGAAGCATCGGCAAAAAGGATCTATCCCCTCTATTGTCAACAAGCCACGATAAGCAATACGGTTTCGCCGACGTATGTCTTGTTAGTCCCTCAACCGTACATTATGAGTCAATGAGGTGTGAAGTAAATACCGCAGCTGGTGGAGGTAATGGGGAAAAGTACGTTGCGATTCCTTTTTTTTTTTTTTTTTTTCGCCCCTCTCATTGCACAAACGAGAAAGACGGCAGGGAAAAAAGAGGGAAAAAGACACAAAAGAAAAAAAAGGCAGCGATGCGTACGTTCCTCCCCTCCTCATTTATTTCTTTTTTTTTGTTTTGTTTTGTTTTTACTTTTGTTTATTATTATTATTATTATTATTATTATTATTGTGTTGTGGTTTAGTCTTCGAGCACTTACTACACACATATCATATCCTCCATCAACGCTATTACAAACTTATGAAAGCCAACTTCTTAACAATATCAACAATAAATATATTTGCCAACATTTGCAACGGCCAAGGCACATTCGGATTTCTTTTTTGTTTTTTTGTTTGTTTTTGTTTTATTATTATTGTTATTATTATCATTTTATGAAAGGCCGTTGACTCTACAGCGGCAGACAACAACAACACACACACACACACACACACACACATATATACAAAAGCAAACAAAAAAGAAAAGAAAAAGAAAAATATGAAGGAAATAAAAGAAAAGGAAAAAAAAAAAAAATAGGGATTTTTTTTGTATGTGTGTATTTATGTGTGTATTTGTTGTTGTCTGCCGCTGTTTTTGTTTGTTTGTTTTTTGTTTTTTTCTGTGGAGCATCAAATCCACCGAGGGAGAAGGGGGGAAGGAGGGAATGGAAGAAGCGAGCAAATAAAAATGAAATAAAATAAGAAATGCGACTTGAAGAATTTAAAAAAGGGAAAATACATAAAAAAATAATATTCATATATATATATATATATACCTGTATGTATATGTATATATGTGCGTAGGGAATTGAAAGACTGAAGTGAAGGGAAAAGAGGGAAAAAAAAGCAAAAAAAAAAAAATGGGTGTAACTTTAAAGAAAGAAAGAGGAGAAAGAGGAGGAGATGAAAATAATTAAGGGACAAAAAAAAAGAAAGAAAGAAAGAAAGAAGAAAAAAAGAAGAAAAAAAAAACGAAGGGCGATGGGGAAGAGGGCGCAAGGGATAATTTTTTGTTTTTTTTTTTGTTTTTTGTTTTTTGTTTTTTACGTTTGTGAGGAATTACGCACGAACAGAAGGATGCGTGCAGGGTGGGGTATATATATATGTATATATATATATATATTATTTTCTTCTTGTCGTTGTTGTTCTCGTGGTTTTTCCTGTTGTTTGTTTGTGTACGTGACTATGCAGTGTTAGGAATGGGCCCGAATAGACAGCGGAAGCCAAGGACGACGAAGACGCATCGTGGCAGAGGTGGAAATTGCACCCCCACATCGTCCACGGCGGCTCCTTCCATGCTTTCTCGGGCAGGGAGGGAGATGATCATTGATGTCCTGCACCATGCGGCGACAGGGGGGGCGGTGCCGGTGCCTGAGAAACATTTTGATGCCAATGCGGGGATACGAATCACACTTCAACGCAACTCCCCCTTGACGCCATACGAAACCCTACAACGATTGTACGAAGGGCTTGGCTTCCCCCCTGATCTTACCACACAGTACGTGACAGATTTGCAGGGAGCATCCAAGCTCCCCGCATTCACCTCCATTACAGAGTTGCTTGCTGAAGATGGCCCTTATCAGTCATTTTTGGTAAATAGTTGTTTTGAGTTGTTTTCCCACATGTTATTTTACTCTCGGGGAGAAGTGGATGTAATCATGGCCTCGGAAGAGGGGGATGCCATCTTGGAGAATGAACTTGAAACCATGCAAAGCCTCTTTGATGAAAGTTTTCTAGGCGTAAAACAAATTGACGAGAAGGAATTTGAGGGTCGTGAAATGTACTTTTCTTTTTCATCGGGAAGCGGAAAGCGTGTAGTGGTCTGTGTTCGTGTCCCTAATCAATATCCAGCTGATCCACCGTTGATCCTTGTACAGCCATGCGGGAATCAGGTGGGGACATTACCCATTCTCGGGGTTTTCCACGCGGATACCAAAGAATTGCCCGCGGCATTGCGCCGCTCTATACTTGATGCGGCTGTGGAAACCATTAATGGATTTGCAGGAGAAGGCTGTTTGGTGGCCCTGATGTCATCTTTGCATGGGGTAATTGCGTCACTTGAAGTAATGCCTATTTCTACGTGCAATTCAGGTATCAAAGAGGATGAACGGCCGGGTAAAGAAGAAAAGGTCAACTTGGACGCACAGAGAAAAGCATTTGTAAACGCCTTAACTGCTGCCCCGGGTGTAAACTCAACATCTACTGAAGATCATCATGTATCGTACCCCATGCCGGTAAAAATTGGACTCAAGACGGTCGGTTGTGTCCAAGATGAAGGGGATATTGTGCGCCGAGAGTATTTAAAGACAGATAAGTCGCTTGACGCTAAACTGATGGCGGAGTGGGAATCTCTTCGAACCAGTGGAACGATGAAAAAGGCACGTGAACAACTGCCTGCGTTTCAGGTCCGTGAAGAACTTCGTGAAGTCATTTCAAAGCATCAGGTTGTCGTTATTGGTGGGGAAACAGGTAGCGGAAAGACAACGCAGATACCACAGTACCTGTACGAATTTATGTGTGAATCCGGTATGGGGGGTTCGGCGAACATTATATGTACCCAACCAAGAAGGCTCGCTGCAACATCTGTGGCTCTTCGAGTTGCCGAAGAACGTGATGAGGCAGTGGGAGGTGTTGTGGGTTACACGATCCGCCTTGAAAGCTGTGTATCACGACGCACGCAAATTACCTACTGCACAACAGGTATCGTGTTGCGACGCCTACAGGTGGAGAAGTTCTTAGGGTCTGTTAGCCACATTGTTGTGGACGAAATCCATGAACGTGGGGTGGACACAGATTTCTTGTTAATTCTTTTACGTGATCTCATTCAGCGACGATCCGATCTGAAGGTTGTGCTTATGAGTGCGACAATGGACTCGGAATTGTTTGCACGGTACTTTGGTGGGGCCCCTGT